TTAATGTGATAGCTGGTTGCTGGACAGTGCTTAAGAGGATGTGCTGGGTTTTGGTTGGGTATGTTTTAAATTATCCAGATTCACATGACAACTATTTGTCAGTGGAGTCTTTGGTAACTAATAACTTGGTAGCCAATGCAAAGGGTTTTTTCCTTCTTAAGCAAAGACACAACAAAGGTTGATGAATTTAAATCACTGCAGGAGACCTGGGACACAAGAGAACAGGTAGCAAAAGGAAAGTCTTCTCCATTGGAGGTCTAGAAAAGTGAATAAACAACCTCTGGTCATTTAAGCAGTTCTGCTCTAAACCAGGAATATAAACTGACTGAAGGAAAGAATTCCCAAAAGAATAAATTTCTACAACGATGTACGAACTGGGATTTTCCCGACACATTGGTTTGAACATCCAAGCATTGCCTCTGTGACCACAAGCTCTGATATAACAAGGAAAAACAGTCTCTAAACACCTTAATTGCTGGGCCTGGCAGGTGTAGAATTTCACCAGGTCAACAAAAGAATGTGTACCCGGACATCCCAAATCAATAAGTAATCATTTCTTTGCATCCTGGTTTTAATTCCTCACCATGGCCTAAAACAGGTGGCCCATATCCTCTTCATGATGAATAGCCATTGTCTTCTGCCCAAAGTTCTCTCTCTCACACTCCTCCAGCACACACACCTGTGTGGAGGCCTCTCAGGTCACGTCTGTATCCAGCACGAAAGCTTTTTGTACACATGGGATTATACAGTGTTCTAATGTACTAGCTAGGGAATGCACTATGGCTCTTAAACTAAAAAATAATTTTTTTAATTTTTTAAAAGTTTTTAAAAATCCAAATATTGACAGTGATTCCCTGGCAAAGAAAAGGGCAGGCCCTAGAAATGGCAGAAAGACACTCTAGAAAGAGTAGACTGATTTTTATCGAAGTGCCTATTAAGTCTGGTTAAAAAAAAAAAAAAATCAGAAGGCAGTCACCACGAGGCCTGTTTTTATATATATTCTTGTCCAGAGGACAGAGCAGAACACTGAGACCAATGCCCAGCTGTGCCTGAAGGCCAGGTGACCTTAGACAAATAACATAAACTCCCTGAGTTCCCACATCTTCAGTAAAAACGGGGACCTCACAAGGGTTCCCCTTTCTCACAGTGCTTAGAGGATGAAGTGAAATGATGTACGTGAGAGCATCCCACAAGGTGTCATTATATATCCAAGAGAATGAGGTCAGTCTATCGGTATGCCACTGAATATGCTTAGAGTGTTAGACAGGATTTAGAGACAATTTAGATTCAGATGCCCTTTTGGCCACCCTGAAGATTTCTGCCTCCTAATTTTACTCTTACCTTCTTGACAGTCTACCATCACTGTCCAAAAAGCTGAGCTGCAAGTAGCCTGCGTGGGACACAAAATACCACATGCTCCTATGGTGTATTTTCCAGTCTGCCCATCACACTTGACCAAGCATTCAGCACTAACACCCCACATCTGTGCCTGCAGAAGTCATAAACTCACATTCACAAAGCAGACAATGGTAGCAAATGAAGCAACAGACAAAGAATTAATCTCAAAAATATAAAAGCAACTCCTGCAGCTCAATTCCAGAAAAATAAATGACCCAATCAAAAAATGGGTCAAAGAACTAAACAGACTTTTCTCCAAAGAAGACATACAGATGGCTAACAAACACATGAAAAGATGCTCAACATCACTCATTATTAGAGAAATGCAAATCAAAACCACAATGAGGTACCATTTCACACCAGTCAGAATGGCTGCTATCCAAAAATCTACAGGCAATAAATGCTGGAGACGGTGTGGAGAAAGGGAACCCTCTTACACTGTTGGTGGGAATGCAAACTAGTACAGCTGCTATGGAGAACAGTGTGGAGATTCCTTAGAAAATTGGAAATAGAACTGCCATATGACCCAGCAATCCCACTCCTGGGCATACACACCAGGGAAACCAATGTTCATTGCAGCACTATTTATAATAGCCAGGACATGGAAGCAACCTAGATGTCCATCAGCAGACGAATGGATAAGAAAGCTGTGGTACATATACACAATAGACTATTACTCAGCCATTAAAAAGAATACATTTGAATCAGTTCTAATGAGGTGGATAAAACTGAGCCCATTATACAGAGCGAAGTAAGCCAGAAAGATAAACACCAATACAGTATACTAACGCATATATATGGAATTTAGAAAGATGGTAACGATAACCTTATATGCAAGACAGAAAAAGAGACACAGATGTATATAACAGACTTTTGGACTCTGTGGGAGAAGGCAAGGGTGGGATGATCTGAGAGAATAGCATTGAAACATGTATATTATCAATTGTGAAACAGATCGCCAGTCCAGGTTTGATGCATGAGACAAGTGCTCAGGGCTGGTGCACTGGGAAGACCCAGAGGGATGGGATGGGAAGGGAGGTAGGAGGGGTCATTTACACTGATTCATATCAATGTATGGCAAAAATCACTACAATATTGTAAAGTAATTAGCCTCCAACTAATATAAATAAATTTTTTAAAAAGCAGACAGAAAAATCTAAATTTCAAGACATGAGCAAAGAAAAGAAAAAAACTGACATCTACAAATAAATTAGGCACAGACCTTAGCTCCTATTAAGGAGACTATTAAATATTTTAACCTATGTAATCTCAATCACTCTATAATTTTAAATGACTACAAATTGTCATTTTCAATTCTTATGCTTCTCACTATTTGATAATATGTAATTTCAAGTAACTTTCTTAATCTCAAATAAAAGTATCTCTTAAAGGCAAGGTTATAAAAAAACCATATATTCTATTAATATTACATAAGTAATAAATGTTTTAAATGGCCTTGTATTTCAGTTCAGAATAACGAATGAAGCACACTGTAACCAAAGCCTTATACCACAGTGGGATCTGAATTTGCTAAGAATTAAATCTATTAGCCCAATATAAATTTAACATGGTGTCCAAGTCTCTGGTTTCCCATTTTCAAAACAGTTTTGTCTTTGCTTCAATTTATCCCAAGGGGACAGAATTAAAACAAAAATATGACAACCTGGCTCATCCTCAAAAAAGGAGAAGAACTGAGGTTTTCTTTTGAGAAAAGGAAAGGACAACAATTATTTCTGAGTAAGAATATATTAAAGAGCAACATGATATAGTCAGCAAACAGATAGTGATTTCCAGGGGTTGGGGTTGAGTGGAGAGGGTCAACTACAAAGGGCACTTCTGGGGTTGATGGAAGGGTTCCATGTCTTGATCATGGAGGGGATTATACGACTGTGTGCAAATGTCAAGATTCAGAGTGTGATATACCTGAAGAGGCCAGATTTTACTCTATGTAAATTATACTGTAATGAGCTTGACTTTTCAAAAATGCTATATGTCTAAAACAGTGTGCTTGATGCTGAATGATAAAGTTTAAAATTCAAGTATACATTTCTCATCAGGATTCTAAACGTAATTACCAAAAAACGTGCCAGTAAATGGTTCAAGTTCAGCCTTCAGTATCCTATTACTTTATTATTTATAGATATTATGTAAAATGATTCAAAACATGATTTTAAATTATTAAAAGATGTATCTTGAATTACCTGTTGGACACACATGTGTAGAAAACTGTAGTGTAATATTCTTAAAAATAGACATATCAAGTGCTAATTATATTTTGAAGGGTTGAATCTACTAAATCTATGTATTCCCTTTTATAAATTGAGAAATGTAAATGGTGATATGATTCATTTGTATCCCTCTATGAAAGATGTCCTAAACGTTTTTTAAATTGACTTCAAAGGCTTGTATGTCTTAAATGTTACAGGAGACTGGCGACTTTTGAAATAAAACTTGTTCAGGAACTCAAATTTAAAAATAAAGCTTGGAAAAAAAAAAATGAAAAGAAGAAGAAAGAGAAGAAAAGAAAAAGAAAAAGAAAAGAAAAAAAAATAAAAATAAAGCTTGAACATAAAATGGAATCCTATGTTTTACGCTTTACCACCTGTTGATAAACAGATCCAAACATTTCCCCCTCTTCTAGAATGTAGGCAGAAACATAGGTTTTTCTGCAGGATAAAGACAAAAGCCAAAGAATAAGTGTACAATGTTTTTTTCATAGTCACAGTACCTTTACTTTTTACAATACCCACAGCACAAATCTTTCCACATGTTCACTTTTTAAATAACAAACCTCTTTCCCAAACACAAAGGAAAACAGCCACTGTGAGTCTGGAAACTTAAAACAAAAATAAAAAGTCCCAATGGAATGCCCATGTAAATACTAGAAACCTAACAAAATACAATCTTCCCTCAAAAGTGTGTGCCAACAGAAAGCACAAAGTTGTTTTTTATGAAGCTAGTAAAATTGAGTCAACCTTATTTTCCTAAATATTCACCCAAATCCAAAGTTTTGTTTTTCACAAAAATAATATTCCCTTGACTTAATTTAATACCCAACATTAATCAGGCAGGAACGGGGAAACGACGGGTTAAGAGAACAGCGTCGGGGTTCCAGGTCAGCACAAAAAACAGTACAGGTGATATCAATCTCGCTCAATCCGCCAGCGAAGAAGTTAAATCTGCTTTTCTGGTATGACTAAGGTTTCCCAGTTAAATACATTTAAAAATACTAGCTACCTGCCTGATACATGTACGTCTTCCCAGGCCCACAAAACTCAAGCATGAAGCGCCCTGGTCAACTTTCCTGTTACCATTTCATCCACGGTCGGGAAATTCCTAAAGAATATAGAGCTTTTTCCTTCGAAAACGTCTATTAGCACAATGAACCCGGAGCTTACAGGCACAAACTCATTAGTTAATATGCCAGTATCTTGAATGAAAATATTTAGTCAAAACATGAAATGTCTGTTTCCAGTAATTTCCCGGGGGCGGGGGAATTAGGGGGTGTTTTTTATTGTTTTCAATATTACTGTTTTCCCACCGTTGGATTTCAGACATTAAATCAGGCAATTAAATCACACCTGGAGAGAAGGGGCACTTACCTTCCGTGTGCACACCAGCCTAGCAATCGCTAACCCGCGGCACGTGCTTTCCCCGGACTAGTTCTGTGCCCCGCGTGCGGATGGCGCACCCCGCAAACGGAGAGCGAGCGCACCCCGCGCAGCCCAGACCCCAAACGCCCGCCTGCACCCGCAGCACCGGACGCCAGTCGCAGCCCAGGATGGTCCCCCTATGGTCGGCTCCCGCCGCCCCTTATCTGCTCTGCAAGTTTCCAGAGGCGTCTCTCGAAGCCTCCGCGCTGGCAGCGGCCTAGCAGCAGGGGCCGGGGAGTGGGTATCCGAAGGGCCAGCAGTCCGACACACTGCAAAGATCACAAACGACTGAACTAGGAGCCGCTCCTTCCTCTTATAGACACGAGGCGGCGGGGGGCGGGGAGGGGTGGAGATGCCGAGAGCCCACGTGACCACCTAGCCTGCGGCCGGGAGATCGCAGGAGGACCCGGGCTGCCTGCCTCGCTATCCACGCTCACCTGAGCGAAGTGGGAAGCCCCAGGGCAGGGGCTGTCACTGTCCAGCGCCTCACTGTCACTCTCAGGGGGCGACAAGGCACATACGGCGCCCCTCCCCTGTCTTGGATTCGGGAGATCTGGGGCGCGGGCCTGAGATTGTGCATTCCTAACAGGTGATGCTGAAAACTGAGGCTGCCGGGCTGGGGGCCTCGCATTGAAGGGCGACTCCCCAGACTCTGAGCCACGTTGAGTCCGAGAGGAGCCGTATGCTTCGGTTTCATTAAATAGAGAACTCTGCCTCTTTAAGCGAGGCGTTGAATGCCCAGTCCCCAGCGGCAAGTGCCCCCGGAGAGGCGAAGCCTCGCAGCACGGGTCGGGAGGTGAAGGGTGGGGGTTCTCATCTCTCAAGGGCTGGCTGGGAAGGCCGTCTCGCCCTAGAGCAAGATCCCGGGAAGCTCCTTAAGCTCACCTACTGCAAGGAAGCCCAGGGGATCCGGGGCGGAGAGGTGGTACTGTGCTTCTCTGCGAGGCGGCCCCGGTCCCCGGCGGCGCCTCTGTCAAACCCTCTCCGCAGGCGAGCGCCCCCTGGTGGTAGTTCTAGTTTCCCAGGTCTGCACGGTCCCCCAGCGTGCTTCTCACCCACCCCACCCGGCAGTATCCCACAGTATACAGACTAGTAGATTTAAGTCATTATCTATACCCGTGGCAAACGGACACGGTTCTTGATGCAGTTGCAGCTTCAGATCTCAGATGCAGGAAGACCAAACGGGCATATGGAAGGAAACTTTTACAGACTTAAGTGCTGGGGTTTAATCAAAAATAACCTAGAGGGACGCTAATGTGCTCTGGGTTTGTAAGAGTCAAGTCCACAGGTGGTGGAGATATGCTCCAAATATGGAGAGTCACCTACTTTATAACAATGGTTATCAAAAATGTGTACTCTCCCCACCTCCAAGTTTCATTGAAAGTTCGACTCCTGGATTCTCTCAAGTTGTAGGGCAGAGTTTCTTGGTCCTTGAGGCTAAGAAGTTTAAACAGGAGAGTGTATAGCTGGCACGATCCACCCTGGGGAGGATGGTAGAAGACTAAATGCTTATCTTTGCCAGCCTTTGCTCCCCTGTTCCTTTTCCTAGATATTTCTCCAGTACCTAATATCCATGTGCTTTTTCCTTCATTTCACTTTAAGGAGAAAATTTTAAAGGATGGTTTTTTTTGTTTTTTTTTTTTTTAAATCAGTTCCATTTTTAGTACTTGTCAACAGATATCCCAGAATGAAAATTATTATGAAGGTATTCCAGTCATGCATGGGCCAATGAGGAGACAAAGATTATGGAACAGTTAAGAAAACTGACATCTATTAAGTATCTGCATCATGCCAGAAAGTGTGTTAAGTGCTTGCACAGCATCTCATTTAAGCCTCATTGACCCCACTTCTCAGATGGGGTAACAGAGAGAGGCTCACAGAGCTTATATCAGCTACCTGAAGTCATGCATAGTAAGAAAAGAACCCAGTAGCAACAATGCTTTCATAAACAGCTACCACTTATTGGGCATTTAGCCATGCTCCACCTTCTATGGGCTTCCCTTGTGGCTCAGCTGGTGAAGAATCCACCTGCAAGGTAGGAGACCTGGGTTCGATCCCTGGGATAGGAAGAGCCCCTGGAGAAGGGAACAGCTACCCACTCCAGTATTCTGGCCTGGACAATTCCATGAACTGTGTAGTCCATGGGGTTGCAAAGAGTTGGACTTGACTGAGCGACTTTCACTTTCCACTTTCTATATATATTATTTCATTCTACAACAAGCCTCTGTGTCAACTCTGTTATTAATTAGCCCCATTTTATGATTGAGAAAATGGCCAGTCAATGGCTGAGAAGAACTTGAATCCAGGCCAGTGAGAGCTCAAGACTGTTTTCTTCCACACCATGGCTGCAATCAATTGGAAATAAAGATGGCTTGAATGTCAGAACATTGTATCTCCTGCAGACAAGCCCCACCTTAAAGCCTCCTGCCACCTGTGAAAAAAGCTTCTGCTCAACTCCGGGAACTAGAGCTCCCTGTTTGCTGTGATGCTTCCTTCAGAAGTCATTCCACTCACCAGAACAACATGTTCTCTTTTTAAAGACCCTCAAACACCCACAGAAGCTGTTTATCACTCAAGGAAACCTCACTGCAGGAAATATTAAGCAAAGAGAATGAATGGGAGTGAGTACATTTCCTTCTGACTCACCCAGTGGATCAAGAAAGATAATGGTACCTTAGGGATGGAAACTTGCCTAACTGAATGTAGTGAGTGGGGAAGGTGACTATTCCAACTCCCCCCCTGAACTAAGGCTAAAACCAAGAAGGGATTCTTGAAACAGTTAATACCATTAGCGAGGCCAAATAGCACCTGAAATCGAGCGCTGTGGACGTACCTTTTTTCAGCAGGGTCTTTCACTTCCACTTCACCTATGACCTACCTAAGGAAGCACCCACATGGAACAACATGGAAAAGCTTTTCCCTCTCCCAAATATCCTACGATAAGGACTGAAAGCCTCACCATTCCGTCCTCCTTTGGGGTTAAAGCTCTGGATTGTTATAATTCAGTTATATAAGATGTATAATATTAATTTTACTAGCAGTTATAATTACATTCATGAGATGAGCTTGCAAGATGAGCTAAATGTCACCTGGAAAATCAAAGGAAGTCAGAGTAAGACTCGGTGCATTTTGCTATAGGAAAAAGGGAAGCATGTACAATGGGATGCATCTCCCTCATCTTCTCATCTCAGCCCTTCTCTGTCTGGAGAAGCCAAGAGCCTAAGTAAAGTGAAGACTGTGAAAGTCCAGCAGAACATGCACACTGCCTCCCCTGCTGCTCAGCCTAGTGTTAATACTGTCTGCACTGTGACTGCACCATGCCCATCTTGTATCTGCAGCACCCCCCACCGCAGCAGCATCCTGCCCATGGCATCCACTTAATACAACCCAGGCATTCAACAAATACTTAGTGAAGGCTTCAACTTGGAAAGATCAGAGGTAAAGGGGAGAGATTTTCTGTAGCAAAGAAACTACCAAGGGACTAAAGAAATAAATGCTGTTGAAGACCAGAAAGCAAAAGCTGATGCGCAAAAGTGTAAAGGGGAAGGAGAATTACAGATGACCTGAAGAGTGTCATGCTACAGAATGGTTTGGGATCATTATTCTTTCTCTTCTCAGCCTGAGGGCAGGTGGAAGGATTTAGACTCTGGGATGTTCTTACGTGTTCCAAAGTATAACAGGATCAGGTACCTTCATATTACATGGGTATAAATTGCTCTGTTTTAAGAGGATCCAAGAGATGAAATCCTAAAGTGATGAAATTAATAAAAGAGAAGGGAAAGGTTCATTGTACCAGCAATAACACTTTTATTTGATGGCGACGAATTGGGATGGTGGTGTTACTAATGCAATGTATTAGAGGTTACCTCAGCTGCTCATAAATCGGGGTTTGTAAAATAGAACTTGATATTTGAAAGTTGAATTTGGACAGAGCTCTTCAGGATTAGGTCTTCTATAGAAATTAAAGTGAACCTAATATTTATGCCATCTTTCTATTTCTAGCCCCAATACAATGGGCAGGCCTACACAAATTGGCTCACTTTATTTCATTTAATCCAGATAACATCCCTGTGGCCATCTCTGCTCCCTATGGAGAAAATGAGCCAGAGTATTTTGGTAGGATCACCCAAGTGCATATGACAGAGTGAAAGTTCCAGCTCTGTGTCATCTATCTACCATCTACCTGCTAATCCCTCGCTTTCTCCTGTTATCCTGTGATGCTTTTCTTACTTGTTGTAGAAACGGAGGGATATTTGTCCTGAAGAGCCTGGATATTACTGAATGAATTTTTGCCAAGTTCTTCTCTAAGCCTGACCACCTGTGTGCATATTTACATAACTTTATTCCTTATTGACATGTGTTTGACTAGAGCCTCTAGTAAGGTGACCGAGGACATAAGCTGCAAGATAGACCTAACCTAATACCTGGGCACCCAGACCACAGGACAATGTTACTCTGACCCACAGTTGAAATGAACCACCTGGCAGTCAGCATGTATAGCCAACTCCTGACAAGTCATCCTTATTTTTTTCAGTCTTAGTCTTTGACATTTGCAAATATACAGGTAAAATAACTTTTTGTCCTGTCTTCTGGAAGGTACTTAAATTCCACACAAATCTCTCGCAGACCTTGAGTTTCTAGTTTTTTATCCATTGAAACCAAACAATGTGAAGAATATACGTTCCTGACTTCAGCCCCAACTCTGATTTGAAGAAATCCCATCTTGAGCTAGAAAAGTAACTATCCCATGGAGGTCACTGGCATGAATTTGAAAACCCAGCTGAGAAAGAACATCTTGAAGAACTGTTAGAAATGGTGGGAAATTGTAATGTGCAATTTCACAAATGACACAAATGCAATTCCAGAAATGCAACTTCCTTACCTCTTTTGGCATAGAATAACATATTATTAATAACAGGTCTGCCAGTGTAATATTCCCAGAAATAAGGTCAAAAAAGAGATAGGTTATAGACATACATGGCTTAATA